TATGTGTGTGTGTGTGAATGGACATTGAAGTCTACCACCAGAGGAGACAGTCTGTTTCATGCTTATACACAATCATCAGGCCATGTGATAACCTGATGATTGTGTAATAAGCATGAAACAGATTGTATCCTCTGGGTGTTGAATTCAATGTCCACTTTTATATTTACATATGCTCTATCCCTGGTATTGAACACTTTAACCCATAATTATAGCTGTTATGATGTTGATTTGGGGTTAATAAAGACAAACGCCAAATAACATGTAACAATAAAAAAGGGTTTATTCGGTTGGTAAGTAGGTACAGAAATCGCCTGAGTAGTCTATAACTAGCTCAGCCAAGAACTTCTCTGACTCTGTCTGTCTTTTGACATGCCACTATTTAACGTCTTTGTTTGTAGACAAGTTCATCTTCAAGAGGGGTGGTAGGTTTCCTACACAACAATAGCATACCTTAAAACTATATTTTATTTTATTTTATATATATATATATATATATATATATATTTTTGGAAGAGTGTTTTTGAAATCAAAATTGCTGTTTTTTTCAGTGGTTTGCTGATAAAGCCATTTAAGAAAATTGGCTTTGTGGTAGAATGCTCAATATTGAAAATAGGGATAGAGCATTAATAGAATTAATAAAAAATTTTTTTTCACTTAACTCATGTTTACTTCAAAGTTTCATAAATAGATGCAACTACCCTTCAGAACAGAGTCAAATTTTATATATATATATATATATATATATATATATATATATAAATAAACATAATTTTATAATATCAATCAGCTATGCATAAGTTTCATGGATGAGCTGTTCACAGAACAACACTCTGTTCAGCTGCCATAGTTATGCGATGTTTTTGTTTTCTGCATTAAGCTAATTTCTTTGTCAAATGTTGGCTTCATACAATTCTAAGCCAATAGCTTGAAATGAGATCCCATCATTACAGAAGCCTCAGAGATCTTCCATTAATGCCACTCAAGCAAAATAGAAAATAAAAATATTTAAACATTCAAATTATACAGGCTTGAACTAATTACAAATTCATATTTTTCAGTGGAAATTCAAGTTTTTGCTACTCGCTATAGATTTGATAAAGACAGAAATGAAATAACTAGAATCAACACTACTGACTTAATATCTTTACCATATTAAATACCATGTAGCAACTATCAGCATATAAATGATTATTGCAGGCAGTATAATACATAATAAACTATCTGTGAAGAAATAAAATGATTTCTCTCATTATATACTGGAATTTCCATTTTTTTCCCTTCTGAATGGATTCCAGCAGATTCTTTTTACTGATGGCTGTAGTTTACTGTGTGGGCAGTGAACAATTTTTGTCTGATTTTCAGAGACAAGACATTGTTACTATTATACATTGATTCATTTTGAATATTTTCATTATCTTTCCTATTTTATCATTGTAAGGTGTCTTTAACAACCCTCCTGAAATATAGAACCCCACCTTTTAATCTACATGGGCATGAAATTCTCATTCCTATATCTCTTCCATACTGTATCGTGTCATGGGAATTTTTAGAACTACTCAATTCTTCCAATTTGTCTTGCCATTGAACTAGTGTAAATTAAATAAAGTGTTCTGTTTAACATTCCCAGAGAACTGTTGAATGTGATAACCACTTGAAGAAGGTAGGATGACAAGGTAATTGATCCAAATAAATCGATGTATCTGCTAATCAATACCTCGGTATTTAACTTCAGTTGCTTAATAAGTTAAACAGGAACAATCAGCTCATTGTGCCCAGAAGAATATCAATAATAATAAAAAATTGATTCAGTCAACAGAATATTTCCTCCAAGAACTAATTGTCATAGACTGCAAAATTACGGTCTAATTAAAAGTAAATCTATGTTAACTCATCTGATAAGTTCAGATACTATGCACTTAAAGAAACTTAATTTTGATAATGAATCAATGTATGTACATGTAGTGGTAATATTAGCTTTTTCCTTATAAGGAAACATTTGGCATTCACTGATCGAGTGACCTGTGCTGTTGTCAGCTGAAATTTATAAAATCTTTCTCTTAAAACAATTTTTCAAGAAAATAGGTTTCTCAAGTCCAGTAGCTGTAAATGCTCTTTCCAGCATTGATGGAGGCTTCCTTCCTAACCTTTTGTTTGAGGTAGTATGAAATGTCAATATTTTGATTACATCATTATTTTCTCTTTTAGTTACATGTGCTATGCATTTTTGTTGCTGCTGTTGGTTCTGCTATTTGGTACAGTTTTTTTGTGATTCTGTAGGTTGAAAGAAGGATGGTCCTCATTAAGACCTACAGGTTTTCTTCACTGAAAGCTATTTTTAACCATTGATCTGAGAAAGTGGTTGAACACAGCTAACAGTTTAGATATTTTTGAACGAGTTTGCTGCAAGGCATGACCTCCATATTAATATCTTCATCTGATGGGGCTATTTAAAAACATGACTCAAGTTTTATGTTAATGTTTTGGTTCTGTAGGAACTTGTGGCAGTGGGAGCATTAAGGATAAATGAAAAACATATTTAAAAGTTTGGTCAACAAATAAATGTAGCAGTGATCCCATATATAAGTGGTCACAATTTTGTGACTGAACTGATCACGTAAATAGAATGTTTCCATCAATTTGTATTGTTAGGATCACTAATTTGTTGATGGTCTGAGATAACAAGCAAAACAATCTAACTAGACAATAGATATCAATTGATATAAACTGAGTTGATTGTAAAAATAATGGAAAAAATCTTAACTGAAATAACAATAAAAAGTTTTAGCTATATTCAATGTAATAAAGTAACAAAATTTAGATAAAATATGTAGCGATGCCATAAGTGTTCAAATATGTATTCTTTACATTTACAGTTAACTGGTATGTAGTATATTTTAATCATACAGAACACTTGGTCACATAGTAGTGTCTCAATCCTGGCTGATTATACTCAACAAGAGAATCTTCATGCATGCACAGTAAGGTCCCCTGATTACATCATGACTGTACAACTGTATCGTGTAATATTTTATATAGCTTGATATATTTTGTATAGACCATATATATATATATATAATTTAAATGTTCACTTATCGCTACTCTGTATTTTGTGGAAAGTACCTTCACTCAACAAGGTACAAGATTGTAAAATGCTCTATCTCTTGATATTGACCACTATTTTTACAAAGATAACTTGCCTTAAAAACATTATGTTCCAGAAATACCTGGGCAACATTTTTTTAAACAAAATGTTATATATATATATATATATATATATATATATATATATATATATATATATATATATGTATGTATATGATAATGAGATAGTAATAATAACTATATATATATATATATATATATATATATATATATATGTATGTATGTATATGATAATGAGATAGTAATAATAACTATATATATATATATATATATATATATATATATATGTATGTATATGATAATGAGATAGTAATAATAACTATATATATATATATATATATATATATATATATATGTATGTATGTATATGATATAGAGATATATATATATATATATATATATATATATATATATATATATATATATGTATATGATAATGAGATAGTAATAATAACTATATATATATATATGTATGTATATAATAATGAGATAGTAATAATAACTATATATATATATATGTGTGTGTGTGTGTGTGTGTGTGTGTGTGCATGCATGATGTTTTTTTTTTAAATTGTGCCCTGTAAAATGTATTAATGATGCTAATTCCAAATACCTATCTTCCTTACAATCAACCTTTTTTTACTTTCTACTCATACCTACTTCACTTTAAATAAGAGAAGACATTTTCATTCCAGGGCTCAGTGATGGTGGAGGCCAAAGTCAACATGAAAATGTGAGAAGTCAATGCTTTGAAATACAAAAGAACCTTGCAGAAAGGCTTGCTTCCGACATTTGAAATGTTATTTTCTAAAGAAGGATAATCAAATGTTAGTTTCCAGCAAGACAGTGTTTCTGCTGACGATACAAAAACCACCAAAAATTGGCATGAGTACAACTGCATTAAGCACATATTTTGGCCAAGTCAGAGTTCAGATTTGTATCATATAGAGAATATTTTATTTAATCTCATATTTTGGAACTGCTCATTAACTGCTTGAAGCTATCAACAGTGAACAGAACAACACTGACTATTTTTTCTTTAAAGTGCTGCCTGCAAGTTTACCCACAACGTTTAAACATTTAAAGAAATCCAAGTGAAAATCTATTCCATATTAAGTTAAATTATCTGTTTACTTCTTGCTTATTTTATTTTTTTAGTTATATAACAAATAAATAAAAATAATATAAATTTTGATGCTATATTTAATTTGTTGGGTATTTTTCATTTTCTCCTTTGTTATTGACAGCATTTTAGAATATTTTGGCTGCAATGCTAAGTTTCCTAAGTTGAACAAACTGAAGCTATTTTGTTTATGCTGTGTTACTTCTCTTTTTCATTGTTCTTTTTAGATCACTTTCTTCCAGTCATTTTGATGGGCAATAGCGAAATTCTGAAATTTAGAATGATCTTATTCCATTTCAAAAATAAAGTCTGTAAAAAGGAATATTTTAAATGAATATACAACCCAAAATAAAATGCTTTTGACAAAAAACCTAAATGATTTCACTATAATTATGTAACAATAATGTAATGATATTCTGCAAACAAATCTACAGTTTGTAACTTTATCTCATTTCATGGTTAGAAACTATAAACCTAAATTGAGCTTGAAATATTGTGTAATCAGCTCTAATTTTTTGTAAAATACTTGGATATGATATAATGAAAAAAATTTGCACTGAATAAAGCAATTTTCAATTTTTTGTTGAATTCACCCCTCCTCTGCCAAACACGTCATGTGTATATATATATATATATATATATATATAACTAAAAGACCAAATTCAAATTTTGAGCATTAAATTTCATGATGCCATAGCTAAAAAACTTTACTTACTTGTCTTCATTTCTTAGAATGGAATCTTTTAATCTAAGAATTTCCTTCTCTACTCTTCGCAGTTCTCCTTCAGTTTTCATGTGCTGCAAATACAAATTTTATTAAAGAAAATTAGCATCAAAAACCAAAATCAACTTCCATTCAAATCAATAACAAAGACCACAGAATACTGCTTTTAAATAGGAACTAGCTGCTAATTGTTGGTTATTGTTTTTTTCTAATCATTTCCCCTGAAGCAAGGTAGTAAAGCCACTAAGACACAGGACCAATAATATTGCTGATTCTTCATTGGATTTTATCAAGAATCTCTAATTGTATAACAGTAGAACTGGACCATGTGTGGTAGTGATATTCAAAGAATGGATGAGTGATAGGCTTACAAATATGTAAGATAGATTATGGAGAGAAAAATTTTCTAGCACATAAAAAACAATCTACTTATTGAGATGCTTCTGTGACATTTAACTACAATCAGTCTTCACAAATCATGCAAATATTTTTTAAGCTCTCTCATTTTCATTTAATTTTCTCTGAATGACTTGCTCTCAAAATCTGATTTTAAAAATTTTCTCATTTATAGAGCAGATGTGATGTGAGTTATCCTTTTAGCTAAAAAAAAAAAGATCAATGTTTAGACAGTGCTATATTACAAAAGTCATAAAAATTTCAAATACCTAACAAGAAGAAAATTTTACAGTGTAAAAATGTGAATTTTAGAGAAAGTAATGAATTTTTTATTAATCCGACAGATTTTTTATCATTTTAAAGATTATTTTTAGTGGATACTTGTATTTTAAGTAGACGCTCCATTGTATTTATTTATTTCCACTTACCAGCTTGAATGTTCAAGAAATCTTATTAAAGAAAAATTTATGCTCTCTGGCAGGATTTTTAGTGTAAAATGTGTTTTAAAATTTTCTGAAGCTTAAAGAAACATTGTCCATTTTAATGACAGTCATATGTCAGTAACCATTTAAGATGTTTCTAGGAATAGCATGACTTTAGTATAGAATGTAATGGTAAACCATTAGAAAACTAAAATATACCAGAATAGTTCTCTGAATTCAAACAAGGAATTGAATCCTTAAAGTGGTTGAATGTTAACTTTGTCTTCCTCTTGTAGCCAAACTGATATAAGTTCCTGAAATATACAATTTCTCTGGCAAAGTTTCAACAGGCCTAGCAAGACAGAAGGGAGTTATATAAATTGCTCAAGTTAAAAACAAATAGAGTATCTTCCTACACATCTTGTGATTTTCTTTAAATTTCCAAATAAACAATGTAATGACAATTAACCAAAGACATTTTATTATTCTTGAACCAAGATAAATTGTTTAAGATCATTTATATCTAATTATTTGTAACTTTCAGTTCAATATCATGTATTACTTTTTTATTACTTTGTACCAATAGAAGATAGCAAATGTTTTTTTCAACCAGGCTTTTAGCAGAAGCCTTAAAAATGTGGCTCTGTTTCAGTTCAAAATAGATTCAGTAAATACTTTTGTACTATTTAAATGAATTTAAAGTAACTTTCAAAAAGCATTTGTTATAAGGTGCTATTTAAAATGCACAGAAGAGTTGAATAGTATATATAAAGCAAATATTGAACTGATTTTTGCCATTATCCTTCATGAAATATATATATATATATATATGTTGTGGATCCCACGTGAAAAATAGGTATCCAATAAATGACAAACGCAAGTATTTAAGCTAAGAAATTAAATGTATTTACACAAAATACAAAAGGTAATGCTGTTAGTAAAATCCAGGAACGCCGGTTAGTAGCAAATACAGATAGATATATACAGTCTTGAAGTAGGACTTCCTTAGAGTCTACGTGCTTGTAACTGACTTCTACAAGAGGTTACTTCACTCTATCCGACTACCGACACTCACAGACGACTTCGGTACGACTCTGGTACAACTCATCATCTCTGCCTGACTGTGGCTATTTTATGGCAGCAGGACGAGTCCATTATATCCGAAAAGGGTGAACCCCATAACAATATATATATATATGGTTGGATTGATGTGAGTTTGTGACCCTGGGTTTCACGCTTTTGCGATCGTCAGACAAACTGATTAATTTTTTAAAAAATTTGGGTTTATGTAGATTGTGTGTATTGGTATTATTATGGGAGTAGGGGGAATTGTCATTGTGATGTCATTGTGCTAACGCAAACATAGATGCATGTTCGTACATCAGATGAGGTATGCGCATATAAACACTTGCTTGTTCGTCGGGACTCATACATATATAAACATATGTGGACAGTTTCAGATTTGACATATGTATGTATATGGGTGGTGTTGTGTCTATGCATACGCATTTGTATGTTGAAATTCAAAATTGGAAGTGTAGCAAAAATTTCTCATGAATGTCTCGTGAATGTATACATGCCAAAAATCAGAGCATTTATTTTTTTTTCACTGAATAAAATTTCCTCGCATGTATGTATATATGTGTGGTGGGATCTGTGTAAAATTATGATAGGTAAAAATTATTATTATTTTTATTTTTAATTTTTAAAAAAAAGGGTTTATTTGTTATTATTTTAAAGCTGGTTTTTTGCTTGTTTTTGGTGACTGTGTATATGTGACTGGTAGAAATTTTGGTTTGTGATCCCTATTGGTTATTTTTATGGTGGTATTAAATATGCTGGGGGAGGGGGTAGTTTGCATTAATAATTATGACGGGTTTGTATGATAATAGTAGATGTGATATTAATGTGTAAGGGGGTTGGTGATAATGATAATATAAGTGGCTAATAGTTATTGTAAATTGGTAGTAGTGATTTGTAATGGTGGTGGGAAAATAATAAAAAACAATAAATGTGATTATTGTGGTGCTAGCTTGAACTAAAGAGTGATTGTTGGGGTTTTATTTTATTTTATTTTCTATATTTATTTATTTATTTTGGTATAAATCCTGGTAATAGGTATTTATTCTCGTGCCTACATTTGGAAATTATTTCTGATCTTATTGGTTTTTATTTGGTGGTATTAAATATGCTGGGGGGAGTAATTTACGTTAATAATTATAGTGGAATTATATGTTAATAGTAGATGTGATGTGGTAGTAATGGTATTGGGTGTTGGTGGTAATGATAATATTAGTAGTTAATAGTTATTTTAAAGTGGTAGAAGTGATTACTAATGATGGTGCAATGATAATAATGATAACGATAAATGTAATTATTGTGATGGTAGCTTGAATTGAATTGTGATTGTTGGTGGTTTGTCTTTTTTTTTTTTTTAAGCTCTATCTCTGATATTGACGCTTTCTAATAAGTACCATATATAATATATAAATAATTATATATATATATATATATATATATATATGTGTGTGTGTGTGTGTGTGTGTGTATATATATATCTACCAAAGAAAAATACTCTGAAGTTGACAGTGGGACTCAATGGTAAGTAAATTTTTCAGAGTCAAATTCCCCAAACTTTTGGGCATCAGCTAATACACATTTTCATGGAACATATGGTGATAAAGTCTCATCATTTTACAGTTAAAATAGCTAGATCTCTATCTATAAAAGGCAGGATGTGTGTGTGTGTGTGTGTGTGTAATGAATGCATGGCTGCAGTTTTCAAAGGATTTGCACCAAAATTTACATGCACATGCTCCAAGTTAGTGAGAAGGCCAAGACTGACTTTGCATTTCCCAACTCCCATCGATAGTGGAAATAATTGATTTTTCCATGTTTCTATGGCAGATTTCATGTAGTTTGCAGCCATTTTGTACTGGCCAGAGTGAGAGCCAATTGCTGGCTGCCACGAATAGGCAAGAAGATTCTATTGGCCAGCATGAGAGCCAACAGCTGACTGACATGAATGTTAACTAGCATGCTAGCATGCAAAAATAATCGATAGCTGCATTCGTCACAAGTGGGAAAAATTTAAATGTGCATGGCACTTTACTCCAATTGGCTCTTTCGCTTGCTTAAACTCAACGTTGATTCTGGTTTGGGTGTGAAAAAGTATTTGTTGTTAACATTCTTTTTTCATTCGGTTTTTCCAGTTACGAGTCCTTTTTTAAAGCTGATCGTTTTGTGTTCATTTAGTTTAGTTCTTTTTTTCGTAACAGATTTAATGTTTAGTAGAGAGCTTAGAAAAAATTTGCAGTGTGAGATAGGCAAGAAGTAAGGCATGTAGCAACATCAGCACGGCAAAGGGTACTCCTTTAAAGGCAAGGAAGGGCAAAAATATTTTAAGTCAAGTGATAGCTATTGCTGTATGAGTTGTACGATTTTTTAATCAAGCATGGGCAACGCCGGGCCATGCTGCTAATGTAACCATAAATTCTATGCTTCTCTCACACTTCTCACTTGTGAAACTCACTTCCAGCTTCTTGCTTTCCAGCCCACTTTGATTTTCGAAAATTTAAATGCAGTGTTAATCATTATCTTTTGTTCTTAATTTCTCTTCATTTATTGTTCTCCCTCCTTAATAATGTTTTTCTTTTTCTCATATATTTAAGTGCAGTACTAGATTGGTAGCTAGGTCTCATCATTTTACAGCTGAAATGGCTAGATGTAACTGTAAGTTCTATACTAACAGTTTCTTCTCTCACACTTCTCACTTGTGGACCTCTCTTCTTGCTTTCAGTCAAGTTTGATCTTCAAAAATTTAAATGCAATGTCAGTTGTTATCCTCTTAATTTCTGTTCTTTTTGTTTTCTCTCCCTAATAGTTTTTTTTTCCCCATTCTCTCATATTCAGTAACTCCTTGTGTATTAGTGGCCTTATTATCTTGCTTCAGGTGAAATGATTTTAAAAAATTTTAGTTCAGTAGTGAGCCTAGAGAATAACTGTCAAGTCTATTTCAAAGCAATAAAAATATCACAGGACATGATTTTTCCTTGACTCTGGTAGGACTCAAAATCTTAACTCAAACCATCAAGAAGAAAACAATCTCAAATTGCTTTAATTCATTGTTTTTTATAGCCTTGTTATGACCTAACTTCATGTTTTAAAATATTGACTTAAATAAATTTTGCTTATTGTATTCATAAGAATGTTACATAAGTAAAAAAAGTAAATCAACATATTTGAGATGTGATTTG